ATATAGCAGAAAGTAAGAGAAAATGTAGGGTTATTCCATCAAATATACCTCTTTTTTTCTTTTCATTTTTTTTATTTTTTTTAATCTAATAACAGCTATGTTAATTCATTGTGCACCACCAACAATTTCATATTTTTGAATATTTTCTTTGCACTTCCCCACAAACCCAACAGTGTTAAAAATATTTACATATTTTTCATATTATTTGATTTCTACTAGTTTCTATTTTCTTTTCTCTTATTTCTGGCAATTCAATGGAACCTATGATAAAAAAAAAAACTATATATATATATATATATTTTTTTTTTCTGCTGATTTCATTAAATAATAATTACAACATTACTTTATTCACAATGGAGAAGACAAATTATTAAGCAAATATACCCAAACCACAATAGAAACTGAAAATATTTTCAGGAAATTTCTTTTTGATTATATGGAATGCTGTTAATGGATCAATTTCTTGGTCTAGTAAATCTAACACCTGGGACTGAATTTGAGACAATGTAGTGTAGGAAGAATGTGGACCTCATAAATGGCCACGGACCCAATATTATTAAACGGGGAGTATGGTGAAACGGAGAGCCCATGTGCAGTCTCTTAAATAATTAAATGTGCCTGTTCTCTTGACTCTTGTAGTTGTGTTCAGGCCTCCCAACCTCCTTACATTATTGGATGTCTTCAAATGGATAAGAATCAAACTGGATCCAAATTTGGGTTTGCATAAACTAAAACTGATCCATATCTTATGTGGACTTCTCTACAAGGTCCATATCCAACCCACCATCAACCCCATGAACTTCACACCAGCCACCCCTCCCCCTATGTTGTCAGGTTCAGAACAGACGGTCGGACCATTAGACCAGAAAGTAAGAAATCGGATCTCCCGCCCACAAGGATCTACTCACATCTACGATACAGAATCTAAGTGTCCAAACGGGTTGACCCAGATACAGTTTCCTGATAATGATGGCCCGTAATGGATAGTAATTTGATCCGAACCGATCTAATGATGCTCCGTAATGGAAAACCGACCAAGCTCCGGGAAACAAGTTCTGAGCTCACCATTCTCTGTTTACCATATTATTTGTGTGTTTGTTTTATTGGTTGGACTCAAAGTTCTGATGATATCCATTATTTTATGATGATGGGCACATCTTTCCATGACATAGATATACCTTCCATCAATGATCAAATGCCCAAAGCTCACGTGGCAATCTCTTGTCTCACGTGCATGAGACCCATAACCCCATAGTATCTCCTAATAAACACGTATCCACTGTAAAGGATTCTTTTGACAAACCTCAAATTGGACCAAACCAGACTGATTCGTTACTTCAATCTTCATGGTTGGGCCGGGTTGGTCTTAGCACCTAACCTATAGTAAGGACTATAGCCTTGGCCCGGCTCGCGCTCAAACCCTGGACTTAAGCCTTGGGCTGGGCTGGACACAAAATCTAGGCCCAATCCTAAAAATTTTTGAGCTGGACCAGATCGAGATATATATATAAATGATTAATGATCACCCCTGCACTCTGGAGTGAAAGATTGAATGGTGTGGGTCCATGTATTAACAAACTGGTGTGGGGCATTATCATTGGTCCCAAAGCCTGCTGTAAAGAAAACATTTGAGCCAGCCGGTTCGACCCGGTTTTTAGATAGTAGGTTTTGCTTCAAAATTGAATCGGACAGTTGGGATCCACCATACCAAGTAGCTTTGACCTCCGACGAGATGGAGTGGGATCCAATAATCAACACCACCCACGTTGGTGCGAGGGCTAGGCCTTATCTATAGCCGTTAGTGCGAGGGTTAGGCCTTATCTATACCCATTGGATCCATAATCGGACAGTTGAGATACAGTCCTTACGATCCATAATCAACCCCACCCACGTTGGTGCGAGGGCTAGGCCTTATCTATACCCGTACGAAAACAACATTGGACACTGGGCTTGCTGTACTACAATGTCCTCACATCAAGTCGACCTTATTTTGGCCGGACCCTTCAGGCAATTAATTCATACCAGAGAAATGTCCAAAGTTTAATGATATTTATTCTTTCAATTAATAAAATAATGGCGACAAGACCAGACAGAGATCCGAGAAATATTAAAATTAAATACAATTTAAAAATAATTTACAGTTATTTTTGAAAGGGAAATTAAAAAAAAAAAAAAGAGAATTGGGGAAGAAAGGTGTTTCGGTGCATCCCAACATGAGATTGAGAAAATCCACAGCTTTCTGATCATATGGACTCCCAAATGCCCAGCAAACGGATCGTAGTCTATTCCTACGAGTGGCTGCCAAGAAGCGCGTGAGTACACCGCAGACTGGTTTCCTCCTCGGGAGCACCGCCACTACCACCACCACCGCTATCGCTACTATCACTGCTGCTGCTGCTACTGAAAGTGGAAGTGGAAGTGGCCGCCACCGAAATTTTCGGTTGGGTTGGAGGGGTTGTGGGGCTCAAGGTGGGCCCGCATAAATGGTGCACGTGGCGTGCATGCTTATGTGGGTGATGAAGATCAGGGCAGATGGTGGAAGGAGGAAGGGGCTGCACATGGGGTGTGGTAATTTCAAGAAGATCATGTGAGTGCATGTGCTTTCGTTGGCTTCAGTGTGGCCCAGTAGCCCTTGTTTCATTCTTGGCTGGCTCCGAAGTCATGGGTCATGGCTTGTTTTGGCTAATGGCTAGTTAGGATTGAATTGTGTAGCGTTTGGTTGGATTTTTTCTTTTGAAAACATTCTATATGATACGTAACCATGGATGTGGGGTAAAAAAGTAATTATAATCAACATTCTTTTAATTTTAATTAAAAGGACAAATAAGAAAGGAATAAAGTGGGATAATACAAATGCAAGGAATTGGGATTTCCTCCCACAAAATTGGTCTACACACCCATCTCAGCCCTTACTGTCGCACATCAACAACATCTTCATAAAGTATGGGAAACCTTTTTTTTTTATTTTTTTAATGTCCTAATATGTTGATGCCTATTGTATGATACATATGTATTTTTAGGATCACCGATATATTGAATTTTTCAAATTGGTAAAATGTCTTTTTGGTGGACAATGATCAAAGGGTATCTGTTGATTGCCTTATAAATAAGGGAAAATTACATATAACCCATTTTGTACTTGAGGGTGGTAACACTTAAACCTCTAATATCCATTCTCAAAGCATTCTTAAAATGAATTTCATTGAAAGAAAGTTGAGGGAAATATGTGAGAGTTAATGATGGGGGCAAAGTGATGGAATCAAGAGGTTCAGGAGACTTTTTCAGATGGTCTCCCCACAAAGCGTGTTCCACACATGTCCCACAAATGCATCCGCCCATGCATTTGATACATCTCCCATAATTGAACCATATGAATTAAGATATATTCAATTTTAATCTGATGAATTATAGGTCCAATTTGATCTGAATTAGATATGGATCTAAATTCAATCCAATTTTTTAATTAGATCTGATTTTTTGATCCGATCCAATAATCTAAAGCGAGGATATCGAAATCCAATAAAATAAGATTGGACTTCAGACCGGATTGGATCATATTTAATCCATTTGCAACCCTATGAAAATGAGACTAGTGGTGGTTGAACCGAATGACTTATTACTTTATATTTTAATGGATAAAATAGTCATATGATAAGTATTTAGCCGAGTGAATCATTGTGCTGGATAAAACGAACTCTATATGAAGTCATTTTTTAACTTAAAAGAAAGTCAATGAAACAATGGTTAGCATTCACAAATTAAATTCTCTATTATATTTTATGCTTTTTCATTTATTTTGCATTAAAGATTGGATATTTCCTCATATATTTAAAAAAAGAAAAAATGGTACATTATTTAAAAAAAGAAGAAGATATTTTATGTTTGTTTGTATAAGAAGTTTTTGTCTTTTCCCTTGCTTTTACCCTTTACTTGAGCAAATTTAAGCCATTTAACTTTGGAAAATGTTTAAAATTTTCTTGGTTTGTTTGTTTTTAGAAGGGGTGTTACCCTTCATATTTTTCGATTATTTCTTGCATTTTTAAGGGTTTAGATGAAGTGATCTCATAATAAAAACTCACTAACCAATGATGGAAAAGTCCATTTTAATTTAGATATTAATTTGGTTAGATCTTATATTTTTAAAATAAATGGAGCAAATAACAAGTAAAGCACATAAATATCCAAGATACCCTTTTTTTTCTGTATTGTTGTTGATAAATAGCCAAACATTCCAACAAGCATCATGCGCTGTTCCAAGTTGCACCTCCAGCTACACCAAGTTGCATCCTCTGATATTTTTCTTAACACCGCCCAAGGTTTCTAATAGAAGGATCCAATATCTCATATTCATCAGCACATGGTAACATTAAATTGTACCACTCAACAGCATGCGGTGCAACTTCTAGTAGCATAAAGCAGCATTTATTTTACATAGAAAATGTTTTTGTTTTTTTTCTATATCATAGAATTTGGATGGTAAAAATAAATTCATATGGCCAATTTGTTCCATTCAAAATCCTAATCCCCTCTCTCTCTCTCTTTCAATTTTCCTTGGCCGACTCGGACTGGATCCGGACATACTTGAACCGGTGAGTTTTCCAAACCCACTTATTTGATGGTTTTTATGGGTTGTAATCAGTAAATTTGTTCTGGTTTTCAATCTGGTCCGGTCCAATTCTGGCAATATTAATTGGAGATTAGTCCCGGACCAATAGGGTTTAAGAGAGGATCTTCCAACCCGACCCATTTCTGCCGTGGCTTTTCTTGGGGTGAAGGACCCGAAAATCATGGCTTCAAAGAAGGAAAGGAGCCAAGCCATGTTGTAAAATGCTAAACCGAACTAAGCCAAGTTAAAATACAAACGGAAATGGTATGTCATGAATTCAGAAGTGATCCAAAAACAGTGATTGGGAAGCCAAAACTCTGTGGGCCCAGCTTCGTTGGCATTGACATTTCCAGAACTCAACAATAATTTAACCCCATAAACCCACACACTCACCTTGCATCTCTCTCTCTCTCTCTCTCCATTCTCTCTTCGTCGTCCAAATTATACATTCATGGAGACTCCTGAAAGTCATGGAACCCAACCCACATTGCCAAGAAGAGAGAAGATGAGAACCAAACAAGAACCTGAGAGGACTGAGATGGGCCACATACTCCATCATCAGTCCTCCAATGGCCCCCACCGGAGAAGACGTTCCAAGATTCAACAGAGGCTTGGAAGAAAGAAAAGGAGCAACAGTTCCATCAAGTCCAAGCTTCACAGGAATGTCTTCTGCACAGGAGAATGCGATGAAGACAAGGTTGGGATTCAGAGGAGGATCACCACCCTTCAGAGGATTGTTCCTGGAGGTGAGTCACTTGGGGTAGAGAAGCTGTTTGAAAAGACAGCTTGTTACATTTTGTCTCTGCAATGCCAGGTTAACGCCATGAAAATTCTGGCAAGCTTTTTTGAAGGCTTGGAGAAAGAAAACAACAAGTTTGGAGGCTAAACCACCATCACCATCACCACCATTATTGTTTCATTGCCTTTTCTCTCCTTTTAAACTCAAACTCAATTGTTAAATTCTGATATTTTCTTCTTCTTTTTTCCTTTTGTTAATCTTTAAATGGGTTGTTTTTTTTTGGCCTTCCCTATGAAAGAAGATGAGAGATTAGTTATGCTTAATTTGTTGATTTTTATTTTTTTTTTCTCTCCTTTTTTTATTTTGGAACCAGGAAATCTAATTAATTATGTGAAGATATACTAAACATAGTATCTTGTCCATTATATCTTGGGGTGTTTTTGTAAATTTGTAGCTCATTTCTCTTGAATTCTTGATCAATACATGGACGGATGGACCTACCTCAGAAATGGCCTAAAGGAAGATCCATGAATGCTTGATCTGTTGTTTCTCTTGGATTTTTAGGGGCTTGAGCAAGAAGACAGGGAAAAAGGAAAATAGTTTTTATTTTTTTCCTTTTTGGTGGAGAGAAGAAGGAATTAATGAAGGATATACATCAACTTTCCTTTGGTGGGTTCCTCTGGTAAGCTGGTTACTGGTTAAAGCCATATCTTTATGCCTTTTTACTTACTGGTTTAGATGAATTTCCATTTTGTGAGGGCTGGTGAAAGTTAAATCAAATTGATTTTTGGTTCATGTATTGGTAGCCTAAGGTGCAACATTCTATACTGATATGATGACCTGGAGTCTACTCATCCCCCGTGTATATATGGTTTTACAGTAGATAGCTAGCATGGAGAGAGAGAGAGAGATTGTTTTGGCCAAATGTACCAAATTGGCAATTTGGGTCAATTCAGGTCAGGTAGCAAAACAGAGTGGTGAAGTGCAGTGATTGGCTAAAGTGAGTATCTTTAGGGGCATTTGGGTCATTACACCCATAGTTTGATTTATCAAAATGCCTTTGAAATTTTTAGTGAAGCTACTTCTTGGTGGATCCACCTATTGGAGGAATCTTGTAGCCAATCTGGAATGGCTATGTGTCTACTTTTGCGGTCCGCATCATCCCTATGTCCCTCCTTGTACTGAAGTAAGGCCAAATTATGATGTAATCCATCTCAATTTTCAATTAAGAGTCTGTTTGGGAGAGCTTCTGCATTGACTGAGCCGATTTGGAGAAGCTACCTGACATAGTTTTATCAAAAAGCCGATTTTGCAGCTTCTGTGAGCCTATTCTTGACTTTTCGGATTTTCCGCTACGTAGATACCTTCCCAAAACGGGCACTAAGAAAGTTTGAAATATGACTTCATGGAAATTTTGAGATCCAAGAATGTGTTTAAATATGGAAATTTTCTTAAGGCTTACCAAGCAACCTGACTTGCATATCCATTCTCTTCTATCATCAAACTGTGCCCATACCTAGAACTTTATGGCCTAGGTGTAGGGGTGAGCAAATGGGCAGGTTCTGATTGGAATTAAATAGAACTAACCTCGAATCAAAGGGTGTCAATGGACTGGTTTTGGATTGGATCCTGTCTAGGATGGATTGGACGGACCAACAAGACATTGAGTTGGACCAGTCCAGACTTAAATGATCCAATGTATTTATTGGATTGGGTTGGACCTAGTCCATCTATAATGAATTTATATTGGATTGGGTTGGATTGACCCAATATCTGGTCCATTGATAGAAGATAAGAATATAGGTGTCAATGGACCAGGTTTGGGTTAGAATTAATCCAAGTTAAAACAAATTTGAATAGATTGGATGGTCTAGACATTGGATTGGATCAGTCCAAAATGTCCCAACCTTTTATGCTTGGGGGAAGGCTTAGATGGTGATGAATTATGTCATCCTTAGAAAATTTGTGAACTTGCTTAGATAGGAATGATATGAATAGGGGTGTCAATTGGACTGGATTTGGTCCAATCTGAATCCATTATAAATGGACCAGGTCCAATAGGTCCAATCCAATCCAATAAATGTTTTGGACCAATTTGGATCGGTCCAATTCAATTCAATGTCTGTTTTATCTGTTCAAATTTATTTTGATTTAGATTGATTTCAACCCAAACCTGGTCTATTGATATATATATCAATGGACCTGATATTGGCTTAATCCAACCCAATCCAATATAAATTTGTTCAATCTAATAAATATTTTGGACCGTTTGGTTTGTCTAATCCATCCAAATTGATTTTGGATTGGATGGGGTCCAATCCAAAACCAGTCCATTGACACCCTTAATGATGATGATAAATTGTGTTATCCTTCAAAAATTTTGCATTTTTGTGAATTTGTGAACTTCCAATAAAAACTCTCAATTTTCTGTTTCCTTTTATTTTCTATCAAACTAAATACAACCTAAGTATATACCTATGAGTTGGAGTGGAATCCTCAACTCCCTACCAGTGTGTTTTAAAAACTGACCCGGAGGTCAAATTATTTTTGCCTTCAGGTCATGGGTCACTGTTTTGGCCATTTGGGTTGAATGGGTCAGACCATGCCATGTCACCCAAAGGCCAAATTGTGTGTGTAAACATATATTTATTAATAAATAATGCATACTTATATTTTACATATAATATATCTATTATTTAATATTTAATTTATTTGTAAAATTCAATTTTTAATTTTTTTTTATTTGTAAAAAATATTAAGAATTGTGATTTGAAGCCAAAAAGGAGGTTTTATAAAAGTAAAAAGTCGGACTATTTTTTTATTAGGCCAACAGTTTTAATCAATCACCGAGTTTTAAGAGAATTAGACTCAGAATCATAGCTAGGTGACGGTTCAAACAATTCGACCAGTCGAATTAACAACGGATTGTAAACATTGCTCCTCATCAACAGTATCATGCTTAAAGTCAGCCCTATCTCTGACAATTACAAGCATCGACAATGCTCACTGATCGGGTCAATCAAGAGTTTTCTCAATGTGGATCAATCTTGACATATGGAAGGACTATGTGACCAATATTAGCATTCATCAACTTGGTGTCCACGTCAGCCCCACCAATATACCACCTCTGAAATAAATTGATAAGTGGAAGATTCTGATGTACTTAGACCTCTATATTGCACCAACTAGTGGTGGCTTAGTTGCTAGTGTCTCTGGTTGATCATTAGGGGTGTTTATTCGGTTCGTTCAGTTTGGTTCGATTCAAAAATAAAACCTAACGACATTTTGATTAAACCAGTTTCATGAATTTGGTTAATTGAAATATAAATGTATGTTATGTTTATATTAATAATTATTCTTAAAATTTATCAACGTTTTTAAATAAAGTATATATTATATTTATTATTAATATCAATATTTATAATTAAAATATAAATATGTATTTATTTTCAATTTTTGGTTCAGTTCTGTTGATTTTTTTTCTTGAACGAACTAAAAACCAATATTTCTAAAATCCCCCAATTAAACCGAACCGAACCGAACCGAAAACCAAAGTAACCAAATCAAATTGGCTCATTCAATTTGGTATCCAAATTTGAACATCCCTACTGATCAAAGAGGAGACTCAAGGTCAAATCTCATTGCCATCAAGGTTGGAGATTATGGGTATGGGGATGAGCTACCTCCATTTTGTAGTCCAATATTTTTAACCCGCCATTGAACAGTTGAACTAGATGTTAAATTGTTTGAACTGCCATCCAGCCCTTTTTTAGGTCCAATTTTCCTAAAGCCTACAAATTCCCTAAATGGTCAAAGATCTACCGACGAAAACAATTGAACCATTGACCCATTCAACCTAGCCACCAGGTCACGGGTTACACATTAAAATGTATTGAAATTTTTGTAAGTCACAATTTTATGCTCAGTTTTTAGATTAGGGTAATCTTTTTTGAGATCTATCTATTTTCCTAAGGAGCCATATTAAAGGCGCCTTCGCCCACTATTTTTGCCAAACAAAAAAAAAACAGATTTTGGCCTCAAATTTCATTTTTATCCTTTTATTTATAAAAATTAAAAACTAAAATAAAAATATAAATTAGACCTTATATAAATCAATTATATACATATATTGCATAAGAAACATAATTATATATTATTTAATTGATACGATAAATGTTTATACATACATATGTGTTGACGTACTCCCTCCCCGATGGTTAAACCATTGACTTGTGACACTAGAATAGCCACACGAGGTCACCAGGCCATGAACACACAGAAAAAAAAAAAAGGGAGGGGGGTGGGTGTGCTAACAGTTCAGTCAACCCTAGAAAACCTTGCTTGACCACCGAGTCATACAAATTGCTACTACCACCATTACCATCAGTTTATGGGTATTTTAATATTTAAGAAAATTATAAAAGCCTCCTTTGATTTTCTGACAATAAACTTCTGTGATTTGACACTAACAATAACATCTCCTATGATTTAAACAAAAAAAAAGTGCAACTACGTATGTTCCTTTAACTTTCATGTGAAAAAGACATTGCATGATTTGCATCTGCCCTCATTATCATTATCAGCACTTATTGTACACAATTTAACTAAAATTTCAACTTTACCCTTCATCACTTTATCTCTCTACTCATTGCCGTTGCCTTGTTCAAAGGATAAAGGCTGAAGTGAAATAAGAAAAATGAATCTATTTTTTCTGGGGTATGTTAGCAAATGGATATCTGAACGAAATTGGTCAAGGGTAAGTCTTGTATTTTAAAAATCTAATGCAATGTGCTTTTTTTCATTTGAAATGCTAATAAGGGAGGTATTTGCACCTTTATTTCAAAACTATAGGTCAGATTTATGTTAGGGTCAAAACACTGGAGAATTTTATAATTTTTCCTAGTATTTAAACTTAACCAATGTTGAAAGCTCACCAGGACCATCAAATAGCCAGGACCCAGGAAGATTATAGGTTAACTCGTTCAACCGTTTGGTTTAGTCTCCAGAAATTGAATTGATGTATCCTCTATAGAAGTCTGAAATACATCAAGTGGTCAAACCACCTCATGAGTAAGAGAAAATAAGGTTTGAAGGATATCTAGCAACTTGCTGCAAATCTCATAGCTCCATCAATGTTGATACCTTTGAACTCTTTTCGTAACAAAACACTAACGGTTATTCATAATAAGATTCTTAGAAGCATGGGGCACCTTGTTTTTATTCCTTTTCTCAAAGGGCCTAGAAGACTACATGAATCATGCTCCACCAGAAGACTTTTCTCCAACACCCAACCATTTCATTTCTGATATCGAAGAAGATTTGATATGCTGAGAGGCAGATCCAATCCCAGTCTAAGATACGTAAGAACTATTTCCAAATGTCCAAGACAACAAAAAATGGAGAAATAAATAATTAATTGATTCTCCATCCTGTATATATGCATAAAGGGGAGGTATTTGTAATTAGGCCTTCTCCTTTGAAGCACAATGCATATATTCACCTTCCCAAATGGTAGCTTCCCAAACAAAACCCCTTGCCCTTGGAGATATATGGGAATGGGGTAGAACTTTTAGAGGAGGCCATGTAGAAAAGGAAGGATTGAGTTAAAACCACCTGGTTCAGGGCTTCAAATCCTATCATCAAATTTAAAGGTGATAGAACAACAAATTTAAAGGAATTTAGGAGAAAAGCAACCTCCTCAATCCTCTAATATTCCTAGCAAAGTCAAAGCCCTGTGCAATGCCATTTGGAACAAAAGAGATGACATCAGAAGCAGTGGAATCTCCAGTTGTAGAAATATTAAAAAGGCATGGCTAATCCAAAGAAGAGAACTTTTCCCCACCAAATGTCAGTACCAATATTTAACTCTATAGCCATCACTCACATCTAGTTAAACAAAAAGAACAGACCAAAGCATACCTAAGTTCTTGGCAAGTATAGGGTCCAGCTAAAATACAAATCGGGAGAGAAAAAGAAGCTTATATTTATTGCATGTATAGCCAGCAGTTTATAGATATTTATGTGAAAATATAACTGAAGATGTAAAGAAAAGGAGTAACCTATCTCTAGCCAGATTTAAAAAAGAACAGTTCACTCTGTTCAGATAAGCCTCTTACTTGGAGTGATAAAGAACTAGTTTTTTGGTTAAGTCTATATGAGATGACCTGATGTTAACTATCCAGATTGGAAACAGTTTATCCTGATTGTTAAAAATAGAAGAAAGATGTTTCCAATTTATGCTGAGGCATGTACCATCACCTTTGCCGGAAACTTGAAAACTTCTGATGGCTATGTGCCATCACCTTTCCACACTGGCTATCTTTATTTATGGATATATTAATTTCACTTAAAGAAATAAATGCAATGATTATCTGCAACATTCTGTTCAAATAAAATATAGAAAATATATTTGTTAAGAACTTTAAGAATACCTACCTCTCAAGGCTACTAGGTCTCTAATGGTGTGAATCATAAGACAGGTAATGGGATCTCATGAAAGCAAAAACTCTACAAACACCTCCCCATGAATTTAACATACATGTATGGGAGATATTCCCAATGTGAGACTGGATGCCGTGCTTGGAGTTTTTGCTTTCAGGAGATCCGGACTTTGCATTAACTTGAAGACAGAAATTTTTTATAAGGACCTTTAACTAAGGATGAGTCTCTCAATGCGTTTTGGATAAAAAAAATGTCCCCTTGAAGCTTGACTATTGAATGTCTGAAAATTGCATCTTCAACATGAAATCTCATTCATGAGAGCATTGTGAGGCTGTTCTGTTAAGCAGAATGAGAATTTTCTCAATGATAATTTTACCTTTACAAAGTGCTGTTTTTCCTAAACTATAAACAATTTAATACATTTTAACACAATTCCGCTAGGGATCTTAGACAAGGGGAGTGCTGCCACCTTAGACTATTATCCTCTGTTATGATGCAATACAGAAACCCATGAATTTGGATAAAAGGCACATTTATTTTATAAGGGATAAAAGGCACAATTAAATCATCAAAGTTTCTAAAGAAAGGGCAAATCATCTTCACCTCATATTTGAAGATGACAGCATACAGTTCGCCTCATATTTGCCAGGGATCTTTGCTAGGTATAATGGTAAGGTTGAGAAGTGTGAGAATCCAGGTTCAAGTCTCAGAGCAGCCACTTTGTGACCCTCCCAAGCACATTTTCAGAAACTTCACAGTATACAATCATTTTAAAACTTCAATCCAATATCATCTAGAGAACTTGTGAAAATTCTTGTCTTCTCTCTATGAACAAGGATCCAATACAGAAAAAAAAAAAAAAAAAAGCATCGATACTGAGAATACCTTTATGCTGTGTTTGGTTTGAAGGAAAAAGCAGGGAAAGGAAGGGAAAGGAAAGGAAACCAGTACAAGTTGTAAAGGTTTCCCTATCTTTCACTTCCTTTCCCTACCTTTTCCTTCAAACCAAACATAACCTTAAGGAAAGTAAAATAATACATTAAGCAAAAAGATCAAAATTTATATGCTCATAGCAACAGCAGCAACAACAATGTGCAATACCTGTAAAGTGTCTAATATCATGGTCAAAATGCAGCCTATACTCTAAATACCAATTTGTTGAAATAGACTGCAATCTATAAGCCACAATTAGGAGTGGATCTGAAGCAAGCTATTCCTGAGCCATTTGAGCTTGGCTCACAAAAAGCTCAATTCGGCTTGGTTCAAATTAAGCTTCAAGCCAAACTTAAGCTCAATATAGGTTCGATTGCCAATTGAGCCAAGCTCAAATAGTATGAAGCTCRGTTTTTGAAGTTTGCRAGCCTAATCAGTGCTCATAAGTCATCTATACACCAGAAGAGCTTGATTATTATATATTTGTGAATTGAATTGAAATATATGCATTCAAAGGATTTCAACAAATTGTTGTTGAACTRTGGATTTCAAACAGGTTAWTGTTAGTTTTTAGTAGTTTTGAGTTGAACAGGTTGTTTTTTGTATATTTTATGATTTTAAATGTTAAATAAGCAAGTTATTCTTGTTAATTTGATGAGARCAAGCAATTTTGATGTGGTTTTGTGGTTTTTAAATGTTAAAATGTAGGGCAGGTATTGAGTTTGAGATTGAATTCGAACTCAAGTAGGCTTGGTTCACAATCAAGCTCAAGCAAAGTTGATCTCGAACATATGAGYTTTTGAGTCAAGCTGAATTCGAGCTATATTTCTAGCTCAAATCAAACACGAGCCTGAACTCAAGCTTTATGCTTTTCTCCAGAGCCAAACTCCAATGGTCTAATATTCGGCTTGGCTCAACTCATATCCAACCCTAGCCAAAATAGTTAAACAATGCTATGAAATAGAATAGAAAATGTCCAATGCAGTAAGAGAAACAAACACTAAGCTAGATACAATTACTCACATAGAAAGTTATCTCAACTTTCAGGAGATTTCAATATTCCTCCTGAAGTTTCTATCTAGGGTCCATTACATTGAGGCATTCAGGCAACGTTTCATTTATTCAAATAATCAACAGTAACAAAATATTAAGTTCAATATAGGGTCCACTAACTCTCTTCTACTTGAAATTAAAGAAAAATAAAAGAAAACAAAATCAAGCACCAACCGACTTTAAATGCTTTTCAACAACATTTCCATGATCTCTATCACTTCTCTGCCATCAATAGTTTCATAAAGAGTGTTAGGTAAATTACATGTATAGCAAAGAAACTATTTTTTTTTCTTACAAAAATCAAGTACGCATGTATAAGATTGCAAGAGATTGTTGCAAACAAATTTGTTGATAAAACTAACATTATCATATTTTACAATTAAAGCTAAGGGATTCACCATGATTTGTTAATAGTACCTCCTGTGTCTTGTAGGCAATGGCCATCGTCATCCAAGAAATGTTCTCTGAATTAAACATCAACTTCTCAATATGTACAAATTTAGTTCTGACCTCTGAAAACAAAATGAAGCATTTATACATGTTGTGACTCATATGCTTAACAGTCATCAGATGCACTATTCCTCCCAAAACATCTTAAAGAACAAAATTCACAATAGCGCTACCAATAATCCCCACAAGAGCAGTTGCCATTCCTAAAGTGATGGAAACGACTAGAATCTCTTACAATGATCTCACGCCCAATAATTTTTGCTATAAGCTTGATGGCAGAATGGCAATCCCCACATACACGAAGGTTTTTCATCACTCTTATGGTACTACCTTCGACAGTAGTAACCAACCCAAAACCAATAGCAAGTCTCTCACTATGATAAGATAAAATTACTTCTTTCTGTTCATCCTCCACATCATGCAAGGCAAAACTTCGATCAGGGACATAGCCAAGCTCCTTCAATTTTCCACCCAAAAAATCCATCTTCTGATATATTTTTTCACTCAATGGATGGGACCTATCTCCACAAAGAAACTCATGCCTTGACCCCTTCATTGTGACCCAACTACAACCTGGATTCTTTACAATTCCTTTCTGTTTCATCATCCCTCTTATTTGTGAAACATCATTCCATCTACTAGCCGAAGCACATAAGTTAGACAATAAAATATAAGCTGCACTATTATGTGGTTCTAGATCAAAAACATACTGTGCAGCTCTTTTGGCCACTTCTAAGTTAGCATGCACCCTACAAGCACTAAGCAAAGCTAGCCATACCATAGAGTTTGCTTTCACTGGCATGTTTCTGATAAATTCCTCTGCCTCCTCCAGTTTCCCACATCGGCCAAAGACATCTACCATGCATGCATAGTGCTCAAGCTTCACAACAATGGACTTATCCTGATTCAATTTCTCAAAAAAATGCATTGCCTTATCTAACATCCTAGAATGGCTACAGGCAGTAAGCAAGCCAATATATGTGATTTCATCTGGATGTATCTCCTCATGTACCATTTGGTCAAAGAACTTAAGAGCTTGAATGGCATACCCATGTTGTGCACATCCAACAATAATAGAATTCCATGAAACAATGTTCCTCTTGCTCATTTTATTGAAGAGGACTACTGCATCATCTATGTTTCCACATTTAGAATACATGACAACAAGAGAATTACCCACAAACACATCAAAATCCAATCCAAGCTTGACAGCTTGTGCATGGATCATTTTTCCTCTATCAAGAGCTTCTAGCCCACTGCATGAGTATAAAGTGCTAGTGAAAGTGGATTGGTTGGGAACTATTCCTACCTTAATCATATCATTAAACACAACCAATGCTTCTTCATATTTACTGTTTAGACCATAACCTGTTATAAGGGCTGTCCACATAACCACATTCATATGAAGGTTTTCTTGGAAAATCTTGTGAGAGTTTTCAATTTGCTTACAGTTTGCATAAAATGTGATGAGTGAAGTAGAGATAAAAGCATCAAAGACGTACCCTAACTTGACAAGATGTGCATGAAGTTGAACACCTTGATCTAATGCCGGTATGTTTGCACAAGCCGTTAGAGCAGAAGAATATGTGCTTGCAGTAGGTATTATTAACCCTGAATCCTGCATCTCCTGAAAGAGAGACAAGGCTTCACCACTCATCCCATATTGATCAAGCCCACCGATCATTGTGGTCCATGATATCACATTCCGAGAAGGCATCTCCTCAAACAACTTCAGAGCATCTTCAATTCTTCCATTACTACAATATCCAAAAATCATCGAGTTCCATGCAGCAGTATCCCTCCAAGGCATCTTATGAAACAAAACCTCAGCCATTTCAATTTTTCCAAATTGCAAGAACCCATTCAGGATTGTGGTCCAAGAGATAACGTTTCTCTCCGGAATTTCATCAAAAAGCTTCCGAGCAATAACTAAATTACCACAATCTAGACATCCCTTCATCATTGAATTCCAAGAAGCAACATCCCTGACCGGCATTTTGCAGAATAATTCCAATGCATCATCAAGTCTTTGGCTTCGTGAATAACGTGCAATCATCATCGTATAGAGATAAACATCGGGAGAAGTGATCTCATCAAATAGCCGACGTGCTTCCTCTAATCGTTCATTTTGGATGTGATACGAGATCATTGACTTCCACGACAAAGTACCCATTCCGGCATAATTCACGATACCCATGAAGGAAGAGAAGGATTTCTTGAGAGTACTTGAGAGCCCAAAACGTGAAGGAGAGAAAACAATCCATGAAAGTAGAATATTTCGAAAAAAGGCGGGAAAAGAAGGCATAGTACAACGTCAACGGCCTCTAGCAGGGGCTAGCCAGCTAGATGGGGCAACAGCAATAGCGATGGCCCTGCAGTGCAAACAGAAACTGAACTTGGTTTCTAATTCTATTAAGCTGAGCAGGTTCCAGCTGCTGCAAGTTGTTAGCAAGAATTCTTCTATTGCATTTCATTATCTTGATTTGATTATCCATAGTCTGGTTTTGAATCTTTTGCAAATTTTGGCGAAATCTTGCATCAGATGATTATATATATTTCCATCAACATAGCAGACATGAACCGATTATAACTTACATTCAACAGGCAAGTGGCTAGTAAGTTCAATTTGAGGGAACTTAAAAGTTGACATCCAGCAAATTCAAACTTAAAAGTTGGAGTTTTTTTTAGTTTGATTTTATGTGCGCACGGTCAAGCATTCGTTTTTACCAAAAAAAGGTCAAACATACCGAAAGTTAAACGGTATACAAGTATAAATAGTATATGGTACCAGAATCATAAGCGAAGATGAATGTTTACAAAGACCGACCCGGAGGCTGAACCGTTTTTGCCTCCGGGTCGTGAGTCAGCGGTTCACACACACATATTGATATATACATATGATTTATACTTTATATTTAGGTCTAATTTATATTTTTTTAGTTTTAATTTTTTATTAATAAATTTTAAAAATTGAGATTGAAGCCATAAAAAGAGGTTTTTTTTTTTTGCAAGAAATAGCAAAGTAATAAGTAGAGGTGTAAAACGGGTCGTGTTGGGTCAACATGGCACGGCCTGCGGGCGGCTTGCGCAAAGTGCGGATCATGTTGTGCCGGTTCCTGGGCTGTCCTGGGCCATGCTGCCCTCCCCTGTGATAACTTGGGGGGTCATCCTGGCACGGCCCACGGCCTAAGCTCGTGAGGGGCCCGTGTTGTGCAACGGGCCGGGCTGGTCCATGGGCCAGGCCGGACCGTGGACTGGGCCAAAGCTATTTATTTAAAAAATTGAAAAAAAAAACTTAAAATTTTAATTTTATATGAATTTTGATGTACACAATTGCTTATATATACAATAATTAAATAAATTAGTATAATAAAATTGAAAACAATTGTTTATTTTATTAATATATTATATACTATATATTATTATAAAATTATAATTTATATAATATACTATATATTATACATTATATATAAATATATAAAATATATATGGATTGTGTTGGGCTGTGCTGACACGACTGAGCGGGCCATGGGCGGCATGGCCTGCTCAATCGTGCCATGCCGGCCTAGCCCACGGACCTAAAACCTTAGGCCTAGCATGACCCACACGATCGTGTTGGGCCTGACACGGCCCATGGACCATCGTGTTGGGCTGTGCCGGGCTGGTCTAAATTCATGTCGGGCTGCAGGTGTCATGGCCCGATTTACACCTCTAATAATAAGATATGACCTCCAAAAGTTTCAATACATTGTAGTGTATTGAAAACATTAGACATTGGTGAAGATAGTTTGGTCATCCGAGTCAACGATGGGTTGAAAATATTGATTTGAAAAACTCGAATTAGATTTGGATTTAATCGGATTTTATTTCATTTTTTAAATAAAGAAAAATTAAAAAAATTAATTACTTTTTAACTTATATGTAATGAGTTAATATAAATATGAAAGATAAATTTATATATACTTTTATAATATAAAATTATATATTTATGTATTTGTATATTATTATATAAATTTTATATATTAAAATCAATATATATATATATATATATATTATAATATAATCAATTTGGATTTTAATTAGAATGAATGGAATTAAATTGGCATTTGATCCGATTTTGTAAACAAATCGTTCAAATCCGAGATAATGAATTAGATTGTTCGATTGGATTTCAGACCATAGGCAAATGGAAAAATCCAAGATGACCTTCATTTGATTTAATTTTATGGAAAATTATATGAAACTACAGGATAGTGACACTTAAAGCCCAATTTTTCACTTGCCATAAAAGAGCTATCCTATACTTTCAAATTCCAATACTCAAGTCCAACCATCAACACTCCAATTAAGCATCTGAAAGATTTGCACATGATGCTATGTGCATATTTGTACATTTCAAAATCCCATAAATACTCTTTGCATAATTCTTTAGGCCGTTTTACCCTTTCCTTCAATGATTCTCTAAAATCCTAGTTGTTAACCCTTCCTATCTTCATTCTCACACTTGGACGAACAGGATTGCTTGGCCCATCAATCCTCATTTTCTCCCATTCCCATGTAACCAGTGGACAAATTAGGCAATAATTACTTGAGTTATTATTAAATTAAATTAAACTAATAGATACATAAACGTTTTGGAAAATAAAGCAGAAAAATCATAAAACAACACAAGAATATATCAAGTATAAAGTTTAAAAGGAAATGCTGAAACTAACACAAGCAGAGTGCAAACAAATCGTTTTTGGGCATTTTAGGAATTTACCCTCACCATAACATCAATTAATGGACTGGACTTCAGTGATGGAATCAGAACATATTGGATAGCCATCTGTCACAAGTGAAAGTTCAAGCTTAAGCCCCTATTTGGGAGTGCTCATTTTGATAAACAAGTGTTTATTGGATAAATGCTTATTCTAATAAGTTGTCGTGACTGTTCAGTGAAAAAGCACTTATTTCAAATAAGGGTAGTATAAGTATTTCCAAAATAATGTGGCGGACTAAGACATAGCAGAAAGAAAATAAGCAGTTGTTGAATAGAAACTTAAAAATAATCTCAAAATTTGAGCTACTTGAACTTAAATAAGTGATTATTTTCAGGAATAAATACTTATTCAGACTTATTTCTCAAACTCAAATAAGTACTTGTTGGTGTGTGATCATGGCGATAATCACTCCCAAAGGGCTAGTGTTACTACCCAGAGTAATGGGTAATTCCCTTTATAATTTTCCCAAATTTTATTGATCCATAAATTCAGCACTGGGGGCTGTCATGAGCCAATCAAAGCTATTGTTGGAATTGGGGAACTTATGACTATTGGTAATTTGGTGTTAAAAGGCTCACCAAGATATATTATGGTTCAGTCTTAGGGATGGCAATTTTCTCCATCCTTGACAGGAATTCAATTTTTCTGATCCAATAGATCGGAGGATGAGGATTGCTATGGCAGGAAGGGGATGGGGATGGGGATTAACTGGGGTCGGTGTTAGGGATGGGGAATGAGGTTCTCGCCTTGCCCCACCCTGACCCCAATTATATATATTAAATATTATATTATATATATATGTCAAAATATATTTAAAACATTATATATATTTTAACATTTTTATTTATGTTAAGTAAATTTATTTTTCAAAAATTACTGTCAACTAAAAACTTTTGGGGATTCAGGTCCCTATGGGGAATCTGTCCCTGTCAAGGATTGGGGATGGACAACTTTTATCCCTGATAGGGATTTATCCAAAATTGGAGTTGGGAATGAAAAATATGATCCTGACCTCGTTGCCATTCCTATACAGCCTTGCTTGGATATGAACCATCATCGATCACAATATATGAAAATCTTGATCTTGTCAAGAGAGAAAATCATGATCTTTGCAAGGTTTAAGTTATCAATATGATATGCCTGATCAATGACTCTTACGTTGCATGAATGGTATGGGGTTGGTGTGCATTCTTTGTACACGTAACAGTTGGCTCCATCTGTATCATGTGGAAGAATGATTTATGTTTGCTAGCCACAAAAGTTAAAAAGTATATTAGAATCAAGAATAAGAGGAAGAATGCATTTTTTTTTCTTCATTCAATTCTTAAAGCTTAGTTTGGAAATAGTACAAATACAAATATGTACAATATAAATACATGAAAAATAATACAAAATACAAGATTTTGCACTCTACATATTTGTATTTGCACTCTTTCCAAATGGAGCCTAAATAGTAGATATGCATATTTCAGTGTTTGAAATGCAATTTTGTTATTAGACTTCAGATGTTTTTTTTTTTTTTTCTTGTTGTACCAGTTAGATCTATGTATTTGCACTCCTTCCAAATGGAGCCTAAATAGTAGATATGCATATTTCAGTGTTTGAAATGCAATTTTGTTATTAGACCTCAGATGTTTTTTTTTTTTTTTTCTTGTTGTACCAGTTAGATCTATGAATTTTCCCAAAAATTGAGAAAATAAAAAATTAATTTTAAATAGGTTTGATGGTGGAAAGAACTATAAGATGGATCTATGGATGATCCATCAACAACATATGTCAAAAAAAAAGATTTTTTTGTAATATTTGATAATATATAGAAATAAAAATAACAAAAAACAGAATAATTATTTTAGTACTATAATTTATGGAGTGTATATTATATAATATGTAACTTATAAATTCTAATGGATCTAATAGTTTTTAAATATGCATATTTCTTTAAATTCCTAGTTAATATTTAACAGTTTAATTTATAATAAATAAGTAGCAATATGTTGATTATTTACAAAAAAAAAATATTATTTATGAAATTGACATAGTTTACATTAATAAATTTTAATAAGTTAAAACCCATTGACTTAATTTTTTAATAGTTTACAAAATAAAAAAATAAAATATAGAAATTTTGATTAAGTAATTAAAATATAACAGTTGTTTTTTGATTTCTGTCTTGTATTCTTTGATTTATGGATCTTGTGCACTTTCATAGATCTGATTCATTTTTAGATTAATCATATAATAATGTTATTAATGATATCTATATGTTCTAAACTCTTTAATGCATTTTTATATAAAACATTAAAGTATGTATTTTTTATATATTTTTATCATTTATAGTTATTTCAACGATAGATTTAATGCTTATCAATGTACTTGTAAGAATCTCCATAATTCGAACATGGTTCAAACTTCAAAAGAGTAACGATACTCAATTTCAAGAAGTTAAAAGCATGCTCTCGCCAAGGCTTATCTGCAGAGAGCGGGTGAGCTCCAACTGATGCTGAGTTGCTGACCTACTATTATAAATTACGATTTACAGATGGCTTAAATTCTTCATTTTTTGATGTATCGACAACTTAGAAAACCACTTCATATCGCACATGGATACATTGAACCTTGGTATTGAAATGTATCCATTGCATTGATGAGTTCTGATGACACATATATCCATCCATTCATTTCCAAACTTTACCTATACCTAACAAGATCACATTTTTAAACCCAGAACCAGCTGCACTACTTCCGATATTTGTTTTTGGATGCAATGAACTTACAGGTACCCCATCAATATCTTTAATGGGTCAGCTCCCCTAGCACACTGTAATTTGTCCGGAAGTCCTAAATTATTGAAAAGTGGACACCCAGGCAAACCATACGAATTTATTTAAAAACTTGCAAAAAGCACTGTCCAACACCGCACGTGGATAAAACTAATCCACTACAAGCGTCCATCAGGTAACTGATCGGGTAGAGCTGGTGGCAGAATGGTCCTTTGCCCTTATGATTTACCAAATTGACTAAGCATTATCTCCATTGTTTTATTCTTACCCTTAGTATCCGTTAATATTTTATAAAAATTCGTACACACATGACATCATATGATGCATAATTTCATTTTCTTTCTCTCGATCCGCACCCCTTCTCCTCTTTCTGAAACAAGACACGGATCTAAAATATTATTAAACTAAATATCATAAAACACTCGAAGGGAATTAGAGTTCTGAACTCTCATCTCCAGACTCCACACCTGCAACCACAGGGTGACCTTAGTGTCACCATCTAAAGACCGTGCATCTACCCTATTTTTGTTGGGATCAAAATAGCCCACTTTTTCTCTAGCCCTCTTTTATAGATACTAAGAAACAAACTCCTCATCGTCTAAATGGTGCAGCTTTTGAATGTATTTTCATATCCGAGTCGGCTTCTCTTGCAAGGGAAGTAGGTTGTTCCTTTCCGTGCTCCTTGGCTTTGGAAGTAGAAGTTGTGGCTCTGAGAGCAAGTTTAGCAGAAATAGTGGCTTGTGGTTTCCCAAGGTTTCAAGCAAGTGGAATCGAATTGGGGAGTTTTGATTTCTATGATCAAGACTCCTCCATTTTGCTTCCATCCAATGCTTCTCGTCACTGGCAACGGAGGAACAAAGAAAGTGAAAAAAGAGGAAAGAGAGAGAAGGAGAGATAGGGAGATAAAAGGGAAAGAGAGGTGGCGGAGAGAGAAGTACCAAATCCGTCACTGCAAGTGGTGGAACAGAATAAGTGAAAGAGGGGAGAGATGTGCATCACGCCAGGAATGTGTTCATACTATAAAGTGTTTATACCAAATCTGCCATGCTACAGGATACACCCACCTTCTTGTCGGTCGGATTAGTCTCGAACATATCTCTACCGACGTGTGTCACGCCAGGAATATGGGGATGCTTCCATAGTATCATCCACTCATCCACCCACATCCACTAGGAACTCCACCCCTTTGAATCCATCGTAGCCCTCCAATATTGCCTTTCATGAATGACACAAATACCCTCGACATAGCCTCCTATATTAGCTCATTCATCTCTGACTTGTCTCTGTAGTATGAAAACGCCGGTTCACCATCCGCCTTCACGAACGGCTCCTCTTTCAGGTCCACTATTGCCTCATGCAAGATAGGCCACACCTTCATCAACACGTCCTACTAGTGCTGCAAAACATAACACGACGTAGGATAGACCCTCGTCAGTCACCAAGGTCTTTCTAATCTCCACCAAAGAATACTTGTGCTCCAAGGAGCCGTTCGCAATTTACTGGAAGTTTGCGGGATCGCCGGTTGGGAGGACATGTTCGACTGGTTTCCATCAGTAATGACCACTGCTTTCAAAGGTTGTAGTGGTGGCCATGGTGGCTTCGTTAACATTCCACTGTGTGCAAAAAGAGGTGAAAGGAGAGAGAAAGAGAAGAGAAAACCGCTTTCAAAAGGGTAAAATTGACATTTCAACTCTTTCATCAATATTAAACGATAATGATAATTTGTTTTTTAAAACAGTAATGATAGCTTTAGACAATATTAAAACAATATAAATATACTTAATCAATTATTAAATCATAAGGATAGTTTAAGAAATTTACCCTATCTTTAAAATCTCCTGTCGTCCAACACCGCACGTGGATAGAACCAATCCACTACAATCGTACAACAACGCGTCCATCAGGCAAGTGATCAAGCAGAGCAAGTGGCAGAATGGTCCCTTGCCCCAAACACATCACGCCATTCATTTGAGATTTTTCGGTACGAGACATTAATTAAACTTTAATGGTTGTACCAAGTAGCAATTAGGAGGATGTTAGAGCTGAATGGGCACTTGAGAGAGAGAGAGAGAGAGAGAGAGAGCAGATAATGATTTCCTTTTTCCTCTATTTACTTTATGCCTTTAACAATGGAATGTATAATTTCACTGAAGATATAATTATGTTTACTGTTGACACAGACTGATTGGTGATTGCTAGCTACCCCTTCTAACTCAATTGTGAACACTTCATCACCCCCAAAGACAGCTGCCCATTCAGTGAATGCAACCCACACCCTAACCCTCTCTTGTCTCCTGTTTTTTTGTTGTTTTCCTTTCTCTTTGTTGTTCATTTTCACTCCCTCCTTCACATGATGATTTCAAAATCGCCCTAGTAAATGGTCTCTCCATTTCTCTGCATCGACTGCTCTGATCATGGAGTACAGATAAATTCATCCTACTTCTCTAGTACATCCTTGACATCCCAAACTGAACAGTGCCCACCTTTCTATGTGCAGCAGCAGCTGCACCAATCCCACCGTACTGTGATTTTGCTTGTAGCAGGTTTGCATCAATGACTATTCGATCATCAACTTGTTCTGCTTTTGTCACTCCTGCTCGAGAAAGATAATATGGAGAGGTGTTGATATCGATGGCTATTTCTGGGGGCAATTTGGCTGCTATGCCGCATTGTGAAGGTTGTGGCTTGGTTTGTGATGAGTCCCTTACGGCCTCTACACCAGATCTTTCTTGCTTCATGCTAGTCCTGCGGTAACAGTATGGTGATGGGGCAGCCTGAGGAGGAAGAACCGCATTCCTGATTATTCTTGGATCATAGGCATCTTTGATGCCAGTCACATTCTCAAATGGCATAACTGGTCCCACAACTTTTCCAGGTTTAGCTAAACAGCAGAAAGACATAATTCATACACACAAATTAGAATAAAAAACAATGTGGCCAATGGTAAGAACTGAACAAAAATGCTGCATGTGGAACACTACACAAAAACAAAAAGCTAAATAGATACGGCAGAAAAACCCAGTTAAGCATGTGCATTACCGATTTTAACTTGTATGTGTTCATATGGATAAAAAGGGCAGCCCAGTGCACGAGGCTCCCACCAATGTGGGGTCTAGGGAGGGACAGATGTGCGTACACAGTCTTACCCCGCCAATGTGGGGTATGTGTTTATACTTTGCCTAAAATACCTTAAGAAGAATGAACTGTATGGATACACACACAAAGGAGAGAGAGAGAGAGAGAGATCATACCTAATGGGATCCTATGGGGCGCATACAAAGTCCTAGAAATGCTTCCAGAAGTTCCATCTGTCTCTCTAGAGTTCTTATTAGAGGCCTCATCTGGGATTTGCCTGTCTTTCAAAGAACCCAAATTTGTATCCTTGGGGGGAATTGTATTTGAATGGACAACTGTTGACCTGCAAAAATAAAATAGATTAGGAAGTCACATAAAAGTATTTATTGGGAAAAAAAAAACATTCGAAGATCAGTACTCCTAATTCCTAAACACTACAACCTACTCTGACCCGCTTATTGATATCATGGTGTGCTATATGCAATGATTTCTAGCATGTAAAATGATTTCGTTTCACAGGTCCACTGGAGAGGGGAGTAGCACATCCCCTACAGTCGTGCAGTAAAACAAACTTAGAAGGCTACGGGGTATTGCTGGAGCTCAAGTCCAAGAATCCAAATCAACTGAATTGTGCTGATCTCACAATGAAATCAGCAACCTGATGAAGTATGTAACATGCCAATTGAGGCATGTATTATACAAAGCAGAACCACACAACTAAAGGAAGAAATCAATGGTACTCAGGTAATGAACTGAATAGCTTATACTTTATCTTTTAATGTACTGTGTAGTGTGTAAGCCATTAAGAAGGTTGTGAGAACAATTCTTCGTTATCGACACATTAAATAACAAAACAGATCTTATTAAAAAGCTTCCAAGTATATCTGAAGTTGGATTAGACATGGTTCATATACTGGGAAGAAAATAGTTCTATATGCTATGAAGTGATTTCGTTAGGAAATGAATTTTCCATGGGAACTACCTGGGGAGGGAAACATGCTTCCTCTCCAATGGGATCACTGGTCCACTTTTGCCACCATTTTCATCCAGATGTGCAAATTGTTTTCTGAACTGATCAACAGCACTGTATATAGATGTAAAGAAAAAACATCAGTGGGGACACTGATAAGAAAGGACCCCGGTGGTAAAAGCAAAAGAAACTTCATTATCATCAGTTAAATGGATTTAAGAACAAAAGATAAATATGACAGAATTAGAACCTAGGATAGAGAAAATTTGTCCTCTCAGTCCCATTCATGTAGTCTTTCAGTAGCTGTGGATGATATTCTAGAATTTCCCTGAATATTAGCTCCCTAATGTCCTCCTTTGTCACCCTCCGCCTCTCAAACTCAAACTCTAGCTTTGTTATTGGCTGACAAGACGGTTCTCTCTCAACTTTTGCTAAGCCTTTAAAGTAAGGATCAGCTAATGCCTGGAAGACCCACACAACAATCAGCAATATATTGAAAACAGTTTTGGTCAAAATTAAATGAAACTAAAGTTGCCAAGATATGGGCTACATCAAAGACGCCCCAGTTCCAGTATAGAACTGGGGGTTGGTAATATGAATCTTCAGGTCTACATTCCTGAAATTAAACTAGGTACACCATCAAAATGAAGAGATGGCATTCTTTAGCAGTTGTTTCTAAAGAACAGAGTAAAAGTTAATTTGGTCACATTGTTTGATTGCTGAAGTTAACAATTAGCCTTTCTCAAATATCCCATATTAGATATAAACAAGAATACGTATCATTGATTGAATACACCAATGGATTGAACCACCTCCAATAGCCATTTCCATAATACGAACCTCTTCAGCAGTAGGTCGATCCTTAGGATCAAATGATAACAATCTTTCCAATAGTTTGAGTGCTGACGGATCTGCATTTGGAAACTTCTGTGCAAATGGAACAGGCTGCTTTTTCCTCATGCTTGTTAAGTATCTCCTTGCCTTCTCATTGCGGACCTGGATACAGTGCAGAAGAAAACATCAATAATGAGATCACCTATAGAAGAAAAAGGGAAATAAAAATGGGTAAGACTATAACATCAGAAGGGTAATCCAAATTTAAAATCTATTTTCAGCAATAAAAGCAAATATGATGTACCTGTGAGATGGTATCCATCGAAGGAGTTCCAAGCAGATCCGTCATCAAATCCAACTGATGAACAACATTTTTACCAGGAAATAAAGGCTTTCCAGTTAAAACCTCAGCAAAGATGCAGCCTATACTCCAAATATCAATTGCAGGTGTATACTGCAACACAAAAACCATGCTAGCTAAGTAATATAATCAAAATATAGAAATTTACACCATAACAAAAGAACTCAAGTGAGTCTAACATCAAAGTCAAACTAGACAAATTTTCAATTTGCAGGAGAGTTCAAAATGCATACCTGAACAAGCATTGTTTTAATCTAGTGATTACCATTTACTTAAAGACAATCAAAAGGCACTCACTAAGAAATGCAGCTACTGAACTCATAAAATTGACAAATTTCAAACATATACAAATGATGCTACAGTTAAAATCAACAGTGATTTGGTTGCAGAATAGTCCATATCAATAAATACTACAGACATTTTCATTTTCCAAATAGGTTTCAAAAAATTAGTGAATGATCCAAACAAGCAATTAACAATCTCAGTTCAGGTTGCCTTGTAAAATAAATTCAAGGACTCTAGAAAGTTCTTTATAGAAATGAACCACAAAGTAATTAATAGCTAAATCAACATCAGCACGAAGTGGAAAAACAAAATTTTCAACAGGCAATATTATATGTCCAGTAACTCAGTTATTAAGGGACAGTGGAAAAAAGATAACGAGACAACAAATAGAAGGTTGAACCTCAGGGAGAACTAAAACTTGACAAGTGTACCAATTACATGGTCAAGCTTACACTAAACATACTGACATGGCTATGAAATCAAGCATCTACCCCATGAAAAACAAAAACAGTTTCTTGAACACTCATCAAAAGCAAGAATGTTTTCTATCAACTCATCAGTTCAGTCAAAATAACCATTCATCACATGCTGGCAGTAACTTTACTCTAGTGTTTCTTGATAAGTAACTACATCAAGTTTTTAATAGCTGATTGCAGACACTGCCAGTCAGGAAAATCATTTAATAGGAAAAAAAAGGAAGAAAAACTGCATTCTAATACCTACATTAAGTACACTGATGGTAATAGCCACACAATCATTTAACCTATCAAATAATAGTGCATGCTAAAACATGTCACTGTTGAATCTAAATAAGGAGAGTGCCAAACAGCTTTGGAGTTTGAACAAGCCACACCTACCTTTGAGAAAAATGATCCACAAAGTTCTGGAGCTCTATACCATCTTGTTGCAACATAATCCTGCAAAATTAAGTGTTTCAGATGAAAAAAGAGGAAAGTATAAAATATCCCCAACATAATTTGCCTTAAGAATGAACAAGAATGTACTGCAAATAACTCTAGGTAGCATACCGTCCAAAATATTGTGGTAGGGGTATCATTGAATGCAACTCTTGCTAACCCGAAGTCACAAATTTTTAGCTTGCAATTTGCATTTGCCAATATATTCTTTGGTTTTAAATCTCGATGGTACACATTAGCTGCAGAAAACAACTTCAAGTCTAAGCCTTGGGCATTCTTCAAAACTCCAGGAAACATCAATTAAAACATCTAACACTAAGTGTAACATGCATCTCCAAGAGAAAAGGAAGATCACAACAAGTTTTAAATGAAAAAGTGGCTCAGAATAAGTAGAATTGAAAAAAAAATGGAACTCACTTAGACAACAACAACAATAATGATGATGACAAGAAATGGTAGCAACAACAATAATGCTGTTGAATGACTCGTCAACACAAATGCTATTAATTTTATAATATATGATTAACATAGATAATGATTGCAATAAAGCAATAGAGAGCTACCAAATTACCTGTATGAATATACTTTAATGCACGTAGCAGCTGATAAAGAAAAAACTGATAATGCTCCCGTGTCAAGTCATCATTAGCTTTAATGACCTGATGAAGATCTGATTCCATGAGCTCAAAAACAACATAAATATCTTTGAAGTCCCTTCTTGAGGGTGGTAAGAGGATGTGCTTTATTTCAACAATATCAGGATGTCGTAAAAGCCTGAGTAGTTTGATCTCACGCAGGATTCGAGCGGCATCTGATATGTGCTCAAAAATGTCATGTATTTTTTTTATTGCCACCTTTTCTCCAGTATGTGTGTCAATAGCTGAGCAAACAACGCCATAGCTTCCTTTCCCTATTACTTCCTGAATTTTATACCTATTGGCGTCCCCATACTCAGTGAAGAAATCCGTCTCTGTTGGATTCTGTGGTATAAAAAAAGCACAATCAGGTTTCTTAATTAAATAATATATAACATGCTCGTTTTTTGCATGGAGAAAACTTTAGTGGTAAACTAAAAATGGAGAAGGCCAACAATTTGCACGACACTGATAAAAGAAAGAACACAAAATCACAAATCCAAAAATAAAAAAAAAAACAGAGAGAGAGAATGCATATTTAGCTCTATGATTATAGAGTACATGCAGCTCTAAGAGTCCATAAACTTATATAGAATTTAGTCTACCAATAATGGATTGGACTCCTATGTGTGGACAAAGCATGCGTTTTCTTTCTCAGGAAAGTATATAGTGAAGGAAAATATTATGTATAGACTTACTATTTAGTATTCAGAGCAAAATAACAGACAAATTTCTGAGTTGCTTTAGTAACATAGAAATGATGTACCCTTTAAATTCTTAAAGTAGAAGCCAACCATCCAATCCATTAAACTCAACAGGAAACACCAAATTCTCCATAGCTCTGAAGCCATACCAGGAAACACCGAAAGCAAGTCTCCATCGTAAGAACAGATAAAATCAATAACCAATTTATTTTAATATAAAAGCGCGCAGCTTTCAGATCACCAAAGAATGGCAAAAATGATGGCAAAAAATTTTATTCCCAAACAAAAAAACGATTCAAAGAGAAATACCCATATGGTTCTACACAGATAATTGTTCAAAAAGAGGTTTATGCTTTATCTGAGCAAAACTTTAGAAATAATCTCCAGAAAAGAACAAGTTTTTCTTCTTTACTTATCAATAGAAAGAATACGATTTTCTTTTGATCAGAAAGAAAAAGGCAGTGCGGGAAATTTTATAAAATATGATATGATCGAAATCCAAATTATGCACGTAGTAATGATCGTCATGATAGATTCCAACTATCAATCGTAGACAAATATTGTCCATCAAATCACTCTCAAGTCTCAAACGGATATTATCCAGTAGCTCTGTCGGTTCAAAGATCCAATTTTTCGCAGAAAAGAATCAACCTATATGAACAATTCAAAGAAACCAATCCTTCTAAGCCCAGAGGTAGCACACTACCCTTCCTCCAAGGCCCACAAATTCAAGAAAGAGAACCAAGAGAAAAGGATTCACAAACGCTAACCTTCTTTCGCTGATCTTGCTGCATTTTTAATTTGTTTTCACAAACTCCAAATTCACCCTTCCAAAACCCCGCTAATGAAAAATCTCCGTCACTGCTCAAAATCAAACTCAAACGCAAACGTACCAGGCACCGACAATAACCGAAATCAGCCACATTTCCCCCATCTGCCCCTGCTCCGTATCACAAGCCCACAGTCGCGCCTCACTCTCTTGGAATTCTTGACGAAGCATAGAAACCAAACCAAATCCCTCATGCACTCCTCCTCCTCCTCCTCAGCTTTCTTGCGAACCCTAAGAACCACAAGGACGAACGCTGCAGCGAAGATCATAGAGTGACCAACCACCGCATCAACTTCTGCATCGCCGGATCGAATTTCCAAAACCTCAACCGAAACATAAACAGAGAGATATTCACAGATGGACGAGCCGACGCTTTCCTTTCTCTTTTCTCTGTTCTTTCACTTGGATTCCATGCCGCACAAAAATATCAGCAGACGTCTGGTGAGAACCTGAATCAGTCTCTCAGTTAATCACAGAAGAAGTAACAGAAGTCAGGAGTGACGAAACCCTCTAGCTTTCAGAAGATCTGAGCACAGAGAACTCACGGAGAGAAGAATTGGCCATGAACATGAATATAGGGGCAATTTGTGCTAGTCTATTTATCGGAAACGTATATATACGAATATCGATGAGATACGGCAGTGGCTGTATATGGTAATTATGTGGAACATTAGGTCATTTAATATATTTGGTAACCTAGATTTTATTGTTATTCTTAATGGACTCCATTAAGAATTTTTGCTGAATCGCCAAAATTATTAGCCTAATTTTGTAAAATAAAATACTTATTTCCACATGATCAGGTAATTATTATTATTCGATTCACGTGGCACTTTTTAATTGTTACTGGTTGTTGAGAGAAATTACGGCATGTTCATTAGTTCATATACGGAAGCAATTACAGCCGTCTGATTAGAATAAGTAACAAGAGGATGCAACGGATGGAAAAGGCGAACAAAGGGGGTCCATAGATCTGACGGTCACACTTGTTTTATCGTAAGAAAGAGGGATTTAAATCACGTTGAGCACGTGGTGCGTTTCGCAATCGAGCCAACGGCCCAACGCACCGACGCGGTTTCTTGTTGTTGCCAAATGCCAACTACTGGTCGGTGGCTGTGGCTCGGTGCCTGCTTTGGAACCGCGCCAACAGAAATACCATATCCGGTTCGGCTAAGCCGGTCGAATCGGCTCGACTTTGGCTAGAGGAAAAGGAGGTGGTGCCCGGAGGGAAAGGTATATCATTCTCAACTTCTCATTGATGTGACGTTTTGGATAGATCGAAAGCATTAATTGATTTAGGTATGGGTTGTGTTTGGATAAGCTTCGCGATTTGTGTTTTTGTTTTTTAAAGCCAACGAGGTGTTATAGAAAAGTGCAAGGAGTAAAGTCTTACTTTTGAACCTCAATTAGGATTGTCGATAGATTTCAATTAGGATTGTCCATAGTTCCATCATGGTTGAAGTTTTGGCTCTTTATTATGGTCTATTTTTAGTTCAATAGCTTCAATTATCATCCAAAAAAATTATCATATGTTATTATTGAAGGCGATACTTACAGCTTTTTCAAATTCATGTGGGTGGATGATCTCTCCATCCACGGTGGCAGTTGATCCATATCATTACTGCCTGCAAGAGCTTTTTTATCTAACCTTCATTCTTGCTCGGTGAATTGTGATGGACGGCAAATGTTGCTGTTCATCTAATTGACAGACAGGGTTTACCTACGGGCTTCTTCAGAAATGGACTCTTCATCGAGTTAATGGAATTTTGCCTACGGGCTTCTTCCATTATATTATATTATATTTGGATGTTAGAATTTGAATGTGGATTTATTCTTTATTTGATTAAAATTTAAGTCTAATAAAAATTTATTATTTTATGTATATATAGTATAATTATGTAAGGTATAATGTAAAGTTTAATATTATATATTTATTATACATATATATTTTAAAAATAACTAATTTTTTTAAAACATTTTTTAAAAAAATGTGGATGCAGATGCAGCTAGATCCAATCTTAATCTGATCCATTTACAACCCAAACTTCAATCACGATCTCTTTGGGTGGAGTTGGGATCTATTCACCAAAAAAAAAACTTTCCCAATATGCTTCCACCATACCACAACTCATAAGTACCATGTTTTTTTTAATGGTTGGAAATAGGGGTACTCATTGTTTGGTTCAAACCGTAAAATCGAACCAAACCAAACCGGATTTGCAGCTTGATTTGGTTTGTACCTAAAACTGTTTGGTTCAGTTTCATATTTTTCTAAATTGTGGTTTGTGGTTTAATGGACTTTATAAACTGAACCAAACTGTAAGCCACAAACCAAAATTATATATAATATAAATATATAAATATACAATACAATTATATAAATAAATGATGCATAAATATTATATATAAACTGAATGTATAAAATTATAAAATAAAATAAAATAAAAGTTTTAAGTTTTAGGGGTATTATTTGGGCTTTCCAATTGGGTTAAGCCCAATATAATCAAAGAATGGTCCAAAATTCCTAAACTCGTATTGGGAACCGCACTAAACCGTAGTTTGGTCTGATTTGGTTTCTATGCCAAAATGGTTTAATTTGGTTTGAAAATTTCTCAAACCGTAGTTTATTAGTTTGTCTGAAATCTTCTATAAATTACATTGAACCAGACCGTTAGCAACCCAGAAAAAACAGCACCAATTCCAAACACCGCCTAAGACCCACTAATTGGAAAACATCATGTTTGTAATGTACGGACACAAATAATGTTAGAATGTATTGGAGCTTTTTGTTGTAAAGAGATTCGGCATGTTTGGGAAGACTAAAGTTTTAATTGAACTATTTCTTTCCATAAGCAAGGTGGGATTTCCTCCCAATAAAACTGTTCCAATACTCTTCCAACATAATAATTATGTCCGCACATCTCATCATAATACTGGGAGTCTGGCACCAACCATTTATGAGATGTGAAGACAAATAATGTTGGAATGTTGTTTTGTTAAGAGATCTGGACTCCCAATAAGCTTCAGTGCAAAGCCATATTTTTGGCTAAAATGTGCTAGTTATTTTGGGCTTCATGGAGCCCACCTTGTAAAGTTAGAGATTTTTAGGTTTTAAATTGTTAGACATTTAAAGGCAATTCATACCAAATACTTGAAACACTTGTTGGCTCAAATTTGTTTTATAATACCCAAAGCTTCCAAATGCAAGCTTTAATCAAATTTAGCATTAAAAACAAAGAGTTAACAAAATCCAAACTTTTAACTACTATATCATGTATTTTTAGGATGAATGTCCCTTTCATCTAACCAATCAAGATTTCTCTTCATTTTCTTTCACTTCTTTCCTTTTTATTCTTTTGTTAGCATATGCTTAAAACCCTTAAATCCTTAATTGAACAATGGTCAAGTAATAAAAATTATTAAAGAAAAGCCTTCCACCCTTTTTTATCTTTTTAACCAAAGTAAACCCTAAATCTAACATGTCAACAACCACCAACCGCCGCCACCACCATATTCATGACCAAAAGAAAACCCTAATTATTTGCAAGTACTGCTTATTTTCAATAAACGTTTGGATTCAACAATTAAATTTCTTCAATCATGCTAATTGAAAATAAATTAGGAATTGGCAACATACAAGAGTAAAATCACTATCAATTGTTTTGAACAGACTGGTAAAAGGCATCAAAGTAGGGTTAAGCTTGGATTTCTGGTGCTTCCATTGTTTTAAACACAAAAGGTATTTTATTATTTATAAACACAAGTGAGACAATAGAGACAGGTCATTTATTTTGTTCTAAAAGCTTAAAAGTTTCATCAAGTTCCTGATGACTTCTCTCAAATGCCAATATAAGACATAAGAATGAAATGCTTTCAACCGATCACCTAATTTTGGCTATTTCAACTTTGGGATTTTTCTACCGCACTCCACCTCAGAACTCTGATTTGAACGGCAGACCTACAACAATTCAAATTTATAAATACCTCCACCTATAACACCCATATCTGCCCATGAATTGACATCAATTCTGAGCCGATACCTACCTTGAACTATACGATGAAGCTAGTATTTCAGAGGTGGACTGAACTGTAAAAACCCCTTCAACTTTTTGCCAAATGATAGGTAGGCAACTCCATGACTTGAGTAGGGTGACATAGGGCTGCAAATGGGGTACCTGATTTATATAGCTCTCGTTACATCAGGTCCAAATGGTTGTGCCGGAGCCGGTCCCCTTTCAAATTTAACAAATTTCAACCCAAATTGCACCCTTGGTGATATAATATGAAGGTTTCTTTTGTTTGCTTGTTCAAGGCTTAAAGTATCATTGCTTGTTCCATCCAAAATCTCTCTATTACTATTAGGGAAGTATAACCACCAAAAGAAATTTTCCCAAACAGGGAAAAACGTGTGAATTTTACATGAAATTGATATTTTGTGGAGGAGATGCAAACTTTTAGTTACATAATCATACCATTTTTTCCTTTTAGGCTCAGTTTGAAAGGAGTACAAATACAAATATGTAGAATGCAAAATCTGGTATTTTGTATTATTTTGTATCTATTTGTACTATATATATTTATATTAGTATCAGTTTTAGAAGAGTATAAATACAAATATATATAGTGCAAATACATACAAAATACAAAGTTTTGCGCTCTACATATTTGTATTTATACTCCTTCCAAGCTGGGCTCAGTTTGGAAGGAGTACAAATACAAATATGTACAGTACAAAAACATACAAAATATAAAGTTTTGTGCTCTACACATTTGTATTTGTACTCCTTCCTAATGGAGCCTTATTTGCATTTGGTTGCAGTGCAAATCTTGACCAGGTGCAAAGTACCCAGTTTAATCTTGCTTTTATTTGTTTGTAATTATGCTTTGCATTTCTACCTGATTCAAAATTTGTACTTTGTCTCTTTTGCACTCTAGCATTGCCAATTTCGCATCATAAAACTTATGCAAAATTTGCACCACCTTCCTCCTACTTCAATTTTTTCTCATATATAGTAAGGATCACATCAACCTAGACAGATAACCCCTCCTACAATCTCCATATTCTCTTTCATTTAAAGCAGAAGTCACTTCATTTTACTTACCATTTTACTCCTCACAAATAAATAAGATAAAATCAAATCTGAAACAAAAGTAAATCAGGATTTACCCTCAGCCCTTTTGCACTCTTATCCATTTAAAACAATGCAAATAAAATCTGTACTGCAACCAAATGCAGCCTTGATTGAATATAGATGCATTAAACCACCAAAAAAATGTCCCTTTTTAACAATGCTTCTTAGAGGATCAACCATGTCCTGGTATGTTTAAGTAACCCTAGCCTACGTAACCCGATTGTGACATTCTAACTCATTTATACCGCAAAAAAAAGTAATAATAATAAAAAAAAAAAAGGATAATAAAAACATGAAAGAAAAAAATCAAAATCAACAAGACTATAGAAGCTGAGAAATCTCTTTCAGGAATTGACCCTTTACTTGTTTTTTTTTTTTCCCTGTGGATCTTTAGCAACCAAACAAAGCACATTGGATTCTTGTTACAAATGAAGAGAATCAACTATCAAGGAAGAAA